GCAGAGGTCAGTGGCCCACACACACACACACACATACACTGGCTGCATCTAACCCCCTCCCTCCTTCCCTCACCATCTCTAACCTGTCTTACCAATATAGGCTGGATGTCTATAACGAGGCACCTTATATAACACGTAACCTATATCCTTACCTATATTACTTCATATATCAAATATAGGCGCTGAATATGATATAAGGATCACCTGAAGAATCTCCACCCCAGCTTATTTCACCTGAAGATTGACCACCCTAGCAATATTTATGTGATGAGGTGTGATTAGGTTAGGTTAGGAGAGAGAGAGAGAGAGAGAGAGAGAGAGAGAGTAAGGTAATATGACCCACCCATGATAATAGTTAAGTGTTGGAGAAGTGAGTCGTCGCGCTGCCCACCTGTGATGCCCACTAAATCCCCCCCCCCCCCTCCACCACCCCTGTGCCTCTTCCTCCTCACCTCTCTGACCTCTGAAGTGAGGCACAACTCCCCACCCTTCGATGCTCCTTAACTTAAAAGATATCCACAAATCTTAAGGAATTTACGACTTAAAACATCGTCTTCATAGGGTTAAACTATCGTTCTTAAGTTAGCACCCCACCACCTACCCACATATCCATACCGCCCATCCATCCACCCACATATCCATACCACCCACCCACTCATCCACACACCTACATATCCATACCACCAGCCACTCACCCAGCCATCCATCCACCCACATATCCATACCACCCACCCACTCATCCACACACCTACATATCCATACCACCAGCCACTCACCCAGCCATCCATCCACCCACATATCCATACCACCCACCCACTCATCCACACACCTACATATCCATACCACCAGCCACTCACCCAGCCATCCATCCACCCACATATCCATACCACCCACCCACTCATCCACACACCTACATATCCATACCACCAGCCACTCACCCAGCCATCCATCCACCCACATATCCATACCACCCACCCACTCATCCACACACCTACATATCCATACCACCAGCCACTCACCCAGCCATCCACCCACCCATGGAACAGCTGGGTGACACTCGGGGTGGATGTCCCAGGGAAGGCGGAAGGGTCATTGTAAGTTAAGTCCCGGATGTGAAGTGTTTCTTGACACTCCTACTCACCCATCAACTCCCCCACCTCTTACATCTACCCCCCATTCCTTATACCTGCCCTCCCATCCCTTACACCTGCACCCAATTCCTTATTCCTGTCCCCATTCCTTTACACCTGCACCCAATTCCCTGTCCCATTCCTTTACCTGCCCCATTCCTTATTCCTGTACCCCATTCCTACACCTGCCCCAATTCCTTACGCCTGTCCCCATTCCTTATACCTGTCTCATTCCTTACACCTGCCCCCATTCCTTACCTGCACCCAATTCCTTATAGCTGCCCTCCCATCCCTTATACCTGTCCCCATTCTTACCTGTACCCCATTCCTTACACCTGACCCCAATTCCTTACACCTGCCCCCATTCCTTATTCCTGTCCCCATTCTTTACACCTGTCCCAATTCCTCACACCTGCCCTCCTCCACCCTTTATACCTGCCCCCATTCCTTACACCTGCCCCCACCATCCCTACAACCTGCTCACTCCTGCACCTCTCCCATGATTCGGGTGACCGTGGGGGGAAGTACAGAGGCTTGGGGGCAATCATGGGGGTGCAAGAGTGGAGGTACAGGGTTGAGGTAATGGGGGAGGTACATGGTAGAGGTAATGGGGGGAGGTACAGGGTGGAGGAGTGAACCAAGACGTTGAGCCAGTCAGCCTCCCTCCACCCACACACTCACCTGGTCCTGCCTGAGGGCAAGTACAGAGGCTTGGGGGCAATCATGGGGGTGCAAGAGTGGAGGTACAGGGTTGAGGTAATGGGGGAGGTACATGGTAGAGGTAATGGGGGGAGGTACAGGGTGGAGGAGTGAACCAAGACGTTGAGCCAGTCAGCCTCCCTCCACCCACACACTCACCTGGTCCTGCCTGAGGGCACACACACACACACACACGTAACGGGAAGACCTCGCCACACACCTACCCACCCACTCACCCATCCATACACCTACCCACCCACACACATACACTCACCCACCCCTACACACACACACACACACACACACACACACACACACACACATGTACGGACAAACAGACAGACAGACAGAGATGTGAGAATGAGAGCCACAAGGTTACCACATCGTATCTTTATTCGTATTTGTTTACATAATCAAAGACGATAATATTTGTACGAGGTCAACCCTATGACCCACTGAACCGAGGTCAAGTGTGTCGTTATCAAAGTACATATGAGAGATTTTATTCACATGTGAGTTAAGAATGTGTGTATGTAACTATGTCTGTATGTAACTTAAGAAGTGTGTGTAAGTTAAGAATGTGTTTGTATATTTTTCACATGTAACTTAAGAATATGTGTTTCTCATACGTGTAATTAATATATTTCTCAGTATATATGTATTTATGTATG